ACGGCTTGCGCGCGGCCACGGCGGCGGCGCGCTCCCGCGCGGTGCGCAGCTTGAACCACACGATCACGATAAGCACGAGGAGCACCGACGCAGTACAGAGCCCGTAGTAGAGAAAAACGACCGATGCCGGCGACGTTGTTGTTGGATGATCCATGCAGTCGGTAAACTCAGGTGGGCACTCGCCACGGGCGCTGCGCTCGACGCACGATGTGGTGTGTGTGCCTCCAACAAGGCGGCGACACGGCGGGCTTGTGTCACAGCGTGTCGTCACATTGGTGCGCAGTAGCACACACGCGAGGAGAGCGTCGCACGCCTGCCGTGACGTGGTAACTGCGTCCTCTCCACGCAGCGACGCGGCAAGCAAGGTCGCTCTCAGCGAAGCCAGCAGCATGAACGCAGCGGAATGGTGGTGGAGGAGCGTGCTAAACAGCGACTGGCATGTCCATCGATCGCACTGGATGGCGCTTCTGCGGTGACACGTGTTTCCCCGGCGCCTGTTCGCATTGGTGTGTTTGCCTCTTGGAACCAAGGTCCCTTGTTTGGAACGAACGCAGCTGGGGTCGTCACGCGCGCAGCAACGTTGCTGGTGTGGGATGCACCGCGCTGCCCTGTCCTTCGATCAACAACGAGTGCTACTGAAGCCAGCTTCCCACCAGTGTGCTTGTGCTACAGAGTCCAGAGAAAGCGAGGTCCTGAGGCTAAAGTATGTGATTATTGCAGGATTCGATAGTAGAGAGCTAGTAGTACAAACGACGACACATAGCATCGACGCAGGCTTAGAGGCTGCGGTAGATGAAGACAGCGAGCGCGAAGAGGATGAGGAGGATCTGGAAGATGAAGACGGGCGAGAGCATCGACATCGGGTCACTTGCGCACGCGACGCAGAGGCTGTCAAGTTGGCGCGGAGTTCGGTCTCGTCGACCTGCTTGTCGCACTTCTTGCACGACGCCATGACAACCTCCTTGGCCTCGACTGGCGCCGGCGCCGGGTTGGCTGCTTGTGCTGCTTCGGCCTCCTTGCGCTGGCGCTCCGCGGCGATCTGCGGGCCGCGGACGAGGTTAAGGTACAGGAAGAGTAGCGGGTTCATGGCGCACGGAAGATGCAAGTCTGGCAGAGAGATGGTTGGTAATGTCGTTTATCCGGATCCGGATGAAGTTTGCTGAAGTTGACGCCATCGAGGAAGACGGGCATGACTAGAGTTGCTTTGAAATCGGCGACTTCTCCTCACTTCTCCTGAGCCTTTTCTGTGCCAGTTCGTGGTGATACCGTACCGTGGCTCTACTGCCCAGAGATAGTAGATTCGTTCAAGGGAAGACTAACTGGTAATGATGATGTATCCCAGTACACCACAGTACAATCTCGTGCCTGAGTCGAAACGGTCAACGAGTCCAAGCGACCGTTCTACGATGCTCCGCGTCGTACCGACGAGTGCTCTTGACGGACCGACTCTGTCAACTCGCCGTACGGGGCGCGTGCGCCTATGCGCTGGTGTAGTCTCAGTCCTCCTCTCGCTCGCCTCTGGTCTCTATTACCTTGTGCTGTTAACGCCCATCCTGGCGAATGACCTGTTGTGGCCACAGTACAATGTCAGCGGCTACCAAGCCTTCTTGATCGACCTGACCAACCTCGCACTTCAAGCCCACAATGAAACGACACAGAACCTCCTCGGACCCACCGCCATCATGCCCGCTTTGTATGATTCAGCGTCCGGCACCGTCAAGGTACCCGCGACCTACGCGCGATCGCTCTTGCTCGGCAGCTATACATCGATCGACGTCGCGGTCCTCGAGCTTCGCCACTTGGATGCGAGCGGCAGTCTCTGGATTTGCTCGCAATATTGCTGGGTGGACTTTGCACAAGTGTTGGAGATTGCACATACGTCCAAACGGCAAACTCGGTGCGGCCAGCGCTACGCAAGAAACGCTGCCGTCTACTTGGAGTCCGTCTTGCGCAACATCGACTACGCCGCTTTTCTGAGCGACTATGGTGGTCCAGGCAATATCTTTACAATGGGTCTCCAGCTCGGTTTGGAAGAGACCGCGTATGGGCGGCAGTGGCTCGCGACAACGGCGACCGCGCGCAATAGCACAAGCAATGAGAACGAAGTCGCCTATTGGCGCCGACATGGTCTGACGTCGTTTACACTGCAGTGGCAAAACTCGTACGACGCTGGCATCCAGGAAACGATCTCGCTCCGAAATGCCATCGGCATCGCCCAGCATCCTCGTCAAGAACATTCCGTATCGCATGGCGACATGGACGTCCATCAATCTCAACTGGTTCTTCTTCAACGACGTCTATTGCATGCAGCTGTGCAACCAGAGCTTGATCGTCAACACGACCAACGACTTTCGATCAGCGCCTCCCTGCGTGCTCTCGAGTACGAGCGACTTTGCGGGCCTCCTAGGACTCAACAACTTTGGCACCGACTACATCAACCAAACGGGTCTCGTCTACTATGAGATTGGCCCGTTCCTCTCGATTGACGCTCTCTACATTGAAATACCATCGGTGGTCTCGGCTGCCCACACTGCATTCCAAAAGTATCTCTTTGAGCAACTGGCAGATTCGCACCACTGGAAGACGTTCCTCCAGCTACCGACGCTCACGGTCAACCCGACGCCGCCGACGTGGCAAGGTCCTGGAATGCTCTACTACGGCGGCAACCTCCTCTGTTTGTATGGTGCGCCGCAAACGTATGTGCAGACCATGTTTAGCTTTTACGACAACTGCGACCGCCAAGTCCCTGCCGAGCTCGAATTATCAGCTCCGACCCTTTTGTTTGCCTTGGCCATGACACTGGCAGTAGCTCCGGCTTGGAATGTATCGGCGATCTGCGCGCTCCAGACGTCAGCGTTCGACTGCACTGCTGTGCTGTCCTCGGGCATTTCGCTTCTGAGCAAATTCTTGCCGATGGACACGGCGCTGCTACGAGCTGCCCACCAGTCTCTACTGACGCTCGACCTGAGCCTCTTTCAATTTGCGACCAGCGGCAGTCAGTGGACCATCCTCACCGAAGCGCTCGTGAACCCTGCGTCGGCACACGTCTTTTTTGGCTACGGCTATGTCGCCGACTGGGTCATTGGATCGCGCGAGGCCGTCTCGTTCGAGGGCGACGCCGGCATCTTCCCGCTCATCTCGTCCGTGTACGCGCCGTATGCGATGAGCAGCGCGCAGTCATCGCTCTCGACGGCGACGAGCCTCATCTTGTACTCGATCTACTACTCGAGCGCCGTGTTTGTGGCCGTGGCGCTGCTTTGTTTTGGCTACGGCCTCGTGCACTGGCGCCATCTCGACGGTGCCACCCTCTGGCACTTTCATCGGCTCGTCGGCGCGGTCTGGGTCGGTCGGTCCGTGTCGTTTCTGCGCGGAGGTACAGCGCTCTTGGTGTTGAGCTCGGCGAACCTGCGTCTCGAGACGCGAGACGGCTACACACGCTTTGTGGCGAGGCCGCGGTCGCTGCTCGAGACGCTGGTCGTGACGAGCGAGGCGACATGGGTGATGTACGTCTTGTGCGATGCAGTGCTGGTGCCGCTGGCGTCGGACGCGCTGCTGGCAGGGCCGCTTGGAAGTCTTCTTGTCTGGTTCGTCTTTGTCGTCCTGGACGTTTCGAATCCGGTCGAGATGCAGAGCAGCCTCGCGCGTTCATGCACGCTTCGAGATGTGAACCGCGGCATCCAATGTGAGAGTGGAGTGATATACACTGGGTCAGCGACTCGACTGTGGACGCTCGTTCTTATCCAAGGCGGGGTCGTCTGTGCTCTGTGCTTGGTCGCGCGCCGCCGTAACGTACGCACGCTGCATCGCAGTGCATCTGTGCCAGGCGTTGTCGATGCAATCATACCTTTGCAACCCTCTGCGCGCGAGTGCAAGACGCTGACCGACGACGCGGTGACGTCGGTCATGGCAGGAATCGTTCGCATCGACTTGCAGAAGCAAGTGCTCACGTTCAACGTCCTCCTTGGTACGCTTGAACCGTCGCGACGTTGGAGCCCATCGCTCGCGCCCGGCACAGCCCTCCCCAAAGGTAAGACACCGTGGTTGCGCCACGTCATGGCTCTTGCGGGTGCAACGTACATGGTGCTCTCGATCTCTGCGAGCGTCTCGTATATTGGCGTCTCGCGAACCTTGCTTGGCAACGACCTCGTGTGGTCTGACTTCAACATGACGGGCGCGCACTCTTTCTTGTGGTGCTATTGGTTCAATCGTCATTGCTCGGTGCTGTGCCGACGACGCTGACATCACCCAGTGCCAACCTCTACGGCAGCTTCAACGACACCGCATCGCATCTTGTGGTACCGTACAATTACGGCGCCATGCTTCAGATTGCACTTTCCAAGTCGCTCGAGCCGGCGGTTTCCGGTCTACGCCATACGGACGGCTGTCATGCGCCGTGGCTGGCGACGGCCTACTGCTACGTCGATTTAAACATGCAATGGGAACTCGCCAATACACGACGCCGCCAGCAACGGTGCGCCGCCTCCATGACCACCAACGGCGCCGTCTACCTCGAGACGGTCCTTCGCAATGTCCCGTCAAATGGCTGGCGTGCCTGCTGGGGGCCGCATTCGACCTCGCAATTGGCGCTGCATTGAACGAGACCAACGCTGGACGCCACTGGCTTGCTTCAACAACCTCAAACGATCGGGCGACCTTGGACATCGCTGACGAAGTGGCTTACTGGCGCGTCCATGACATCTCGTCGTTCGAGATGCAGTGGCAAAACTACAAGCACATTGGACTGCTCCAGACGTACACTATCACGAGCGCCTTTGGCAGCGTGTATCCCTTTACGATCCAAGCGACCAACGGCAGCTTTCGCTTTCCGCTGCAAACGTCGTTCAAGATGTACTGGGGCTTTGGGGGCGACCTGACGATGGTACTTTACAACCAAACGTATGCACTCCCGGGTACATCGCTTGTCCGAGGCTCTGCTGCGTATGCCTATCAGAACGTCTCGTCGCTCGAGGCCATGCTCTTTCTCAACGGAACGCTCACAGCGCCGCTGGACGAAGGGTTGGCTCTGGTGCGCAGCGCGCTGGGTCCGTTCGGGTCCATGGACTTGCAGTACGTGGCGATGCCAGCGTCCGTGCAGGCGCTGCTTCGATCGACATTTCTCTTCATCGCAACGGCCCGTGTCGCATCGACGGAGCTACAAGCTGCCTTTGATGCTGTACCTGGGTATATGGCGTCGCCCGTGCCACCGTCGTGGCTGGCCGCCGACTTCTACGCCCTTGGTGGCTCGCCCTTGTGTCCGAGTGCGATTCGCAACTCGGGCGCACGCATCGACTTGGGCTTGGCAGAGATGTTTGTCTCGCACAGCCAATGCCACAAAACGAGCGTCTCTAGCATGCTCGAACCCTCGGCCACCCATGTGCTCGTGGCGTCGGCGCTTCTTCCTCGCGAAATCAACTGGACCAAAGTATGCGAGGTAGACCCGCAAGTGGTGACGGCATGTGTGCAAGCGACGACAGCAGCTTTCTCGTTCTGGTCGCTCGCAACGAGTGCTCCAAGCACCAGCGAAGGGCTCGAAGCGGTTATCGCAGATATCACGACGCTTCACATCCAACTATTTCAGTTTGGCGCGACGACCCCGACAACGCCAATGGCACTTTACACGTACGACCTCTTTGACGCAAGGGATCCTATCTACCACTACTATGCGTGGCTCTACATGTACGACTGGCTCCTCGGCAAGCGGGAAGTCGTTCGGTTCACGGGCGACCACGGTTCGATGACGCTTCTCTCGGGTCGCATCGTCTATGCGATCAGCTCCATCGCAACAAACGAGTTCCCGACCAACTTCGCAACGTACGCCCAAGCCGCCAACGATTACGTCACCTTGGTCGACATTAGCCTCGCGGGGTGTACGTGGATGTACATTGCCATTAGCCGCGGCCGCGTCGAAGGTCGCAACATGCTGTCGCTGCACAGCGTCGGCAGCGTCGTCTGGATCGGTCGACCGCTCCTCCTCCTTCGCAGTCTCACGGCCATCTCGATTCTCTCGACCGCGACGCTCCGACTCACGTCCCTCGGGCCGTTTGCTGTGTTTGTCTCGGACACGCCGCCGTGGTACACGACGATCCTCGCCGCCAGCGAGGTCACGTGGCTCGGTGCGATCGTTGTCGACATGGGCCTTCCGCTCACGCGCGAGTTGACGCGGCATTTTACGCTTCTCAACAACCTCCTCGTGTGGACTATCGCAGCTGCGCTGAGCTTTACGTCGCCCAACACACACACGCTGCGCCAACCCGAGCCAGCCTGCGTCCTCGCCCAAGTCGACTGGCAGGTCGTGTGCGTCGCCGGAGACATTGCGATCGGCCATCGCTCTCGCCTCCTTCTTTTGATTGCGGTCGTCGTCGTATCACATCTGATGTGCTTTCTGGTCGCACGCATCTGGCTCCGGCAGTCCAGATTGAGCAGAGTCCACTCGCACTTTTTATCATCCGGTGCGATCTTCCTCTTTGCCCATGCGCACTGGCAGCGACACGGTGTGCTGTACATGGACCGCGCCTCCGCCGTCTTTACCGGGCTCCTCTCGCTGCGGTTCCGCGGGCGGCTCTGGGTCTTTGACGTCAAGACGTGGCGGGTGTTTCATCTACCGTCCGCAGCAGGAACAGAGAGCGACGCCGCGATAGCGATGGCACTGCCGCTGATCGAATAGATGTGACTTGGAAATCAATTGGTGTGGATGCGGACGAGAGATGACGTCGCAGCACCATATGCTCCGACAGGTAGAAGGTTTCAAAAGTCGTGGAGCGGAAGGCGGAGCAGCTCCGAACACACCGTGCTCGGCCAGCGATGTACAAGGTCATTGCGATTTGCGAGCGTCGCTGGATGCATCGCACCAAGCGGTTAGGCAGCTACTCAGCCGCGCAACCAAGCCTTGCGCTGGGAATTACCGAACGCAGATATGCTGTGGCAGCCACACCATGAAACTCGGAGCCCACGCGGAAATCTTGCTGGAACCAGCGCTCGCTGTCGGCGATCTCGTCCGTCGTACGTTGAAACAATGCACTCTGCTGAGCTGCCCGTTGTGACGTGGCAACCTGACGATGCATTTTCTAGTCTACGACAAATGCCAGAATGCATGCGACCAATCCATTGCTAGTCGTTGGGAATGCACGAACAAGATAAATTACTAGAGCAATCTTAGACCCATCGAGTCATGGCGGGGTTTGATATGGGTACCGTGTGGAGCTTCTTTGTCGTCGTTGGAGGCGACGCGGAATCGACCGCCGGGTGCCTCTTACCACTGGCAGCGACTCCTTGTTGACGCTCCTGCTGTTTGAGTTTGGCCACGGCCTGACGCAGTCGCTCTTGCAGCTGGTCGCGTGAGAGGTGCTGGTACGCGGTTTTGCTCGACGGATGCGTCACCTGCTCGTGCATCTCGTTGCGCGTCGCAACCTTCTTCTGCAGCTTGACGAGCGCAGGACGACACACCTTGCAGAGCAGTGGCCCTTGGCCACGAGCTGCCAGTGCGCGCACGCAGCCCCACGCAGTCGCCCATTCTCTGCCACGACGACCGTCTCGCTGGCGAGCTCGCAGAGCTGTCGTGCGTCGGTGAGTCCGGCGTCGTCATGACCGATGCCTGGGCAAACGTAAAAGACAATATTGCGCTCGACGACGCGGCCGCTGTCCAGGGCAAACCCGCCAGCGAGAGCCAAACGAGCGAGCATGTTCAACCCCGATAGAGCGTCCTGGTCCTCGGGGTTGGCAGCGACCGCCGCCATGAGGAGTCGAATGTCCCACACGGCAGACGAGTTGGAGATCGTTAGCTGCTCGGCCATGCTGAGAACGCCAATGCGCTCGAGCTCGCGGCCTGCGTTGTGCATCTTGCGCTGGCACCACTCGCACCACAGCGCTATGACACCGGCGTCCAGCAGCCCCGGCAGCTCTTGCGGTGCAGCCCGTTTCCGATCACGTTGAACCGCTCGATAATGCGTTGGCTGGGATTGTAGGGAAGACGCCGATGCACGCGCGTCGCTCGAGCGCCGGCCGCGGGTCGACGGCTTCTGGCGTTGGCGGTGCGTTGGTAGCGGCGGCGGCCGCAGCCGTGTGCGCTAGAAATGCGCAGCGCGGGCAGAGACCTGCAGAGTTGATTCGTCGCGGGCCTCTCTTGGTGCAGCGCTTCCCGCAGGTTGAGGAGCTCCGGCCATGACTTGATTTGGTGAGTTCAAAAATCCGGAATTTGATCCCAAATGGTATCCGGATGCTGGAAAAGACGACGCACGAGGTCGTCTCGTCGTGCCACGTCACCATGGTATTCGGATGTGGTTCTGTGCAGTACCAAGGTACTGCATTTATAGAGTGCCCACGCGAGGTAGATGCCGGTCCTGTGGCCCCATGGAGATGCTTGCGTCGGCCCATCGTCGTCGGTACCGAGCAAGATTTTCTTCCCTTGGTGTACTGAGGAGCTTGTGTCACGAGAGACACAGCCATCGCTGCAAGCGCCGTCTTCCTAGCATGGGAACGAGCCTTATCCGCGACTGGTAGCCAATGCAGCCGTGCAAATTGCTCGGCAGAGATCGCGTTGTCGCAGGCATAACTCTTCTGTGCACAAGAGCACCAAACAAGACGTATCTCTCGGTGAGTGGGTTCCACCACGATGATGGCTCCACGGGATCGTCCTCTCCGCACTCCCAACGACCAAGTGCTGGCGCCCCCTCCCACGCATTCAAGCGTCGTGCGACGTCTGCAAAGGCTAGAGCTGCTGTTGCCCATTTGATTTCAACGCGGACGTTGGATGGATTGAGAGCACCAAGTGCTGGCAAACACTCGATTTGCATACTCTACCAAAATGGGCACCAGCCGTAGTACAGTTGACAGAGGTTTTCGGGCGACGTGGCTTGCTCAATGAGCCGGTCGACCTGCGACTCGACGCTGAGCTGCTTCTGGCCGGGCTCGAGGTTCTCAAAGTCGCGGCCGCGCAGCTTCTTTTTCACGCGATCAATGACCTTGACGGCTTTGGCGTTGAGCTGCTCGGGGGCGAGCGCGCCGCCTTCGTCCAGCTCGCCGTCGTTGTTGGCATTCTCTCCGTTCGTTGATGTCGGATTGCCTGCCTCGTTGGTGGTGGCATACACGCTTCGGCCCATCGCCGCCATCTTGAGCGACAAGTTGGTCGTCTCGTTGGGTTTCTCAATGAACTCGAGCATCGAGTCGGTCGACGACCGCCGGTGCTTTCCCTTGTCACTCTCGTCGACGTCGGGCAGGAGCTTGGGGCCCGACGCCTTGTCCTCCTCCGTCTCGTACGCGTGCGACGGCGCGGCGTGCGGCGCAAGGAGGCGCCACGTGATCAGCGGGTCGTGCACGAACGCCTCGAGGATCGCCATGAGACTGTCTCGGTTCTCCCGCAGCACGCGCATCGACGCTTCGCACGTGTACCGGAACGTGCCTTCGAGCCCACTCACCTCCATCGCCTACAGATACACGTTTCGGAGCATATTCTACGCCAGACACAGCAAGAAAGCCGCCGCACCTGCGACAACATGCGCGTGAGTCGGAAGGGCACTTTTTCCGGATATTTCTCGCGCTCGATCGCCACTTCAAAGCAGTCGCCAAAGTCAATGTGCACAATCTTGCCCGAGACGCGGTGCAGCATGAGGTTGCCCGGGTGCCGATCGCCGAGGCCGAGGATGTAGCCCGCCATCGACATGACGGCCAGCGACCGCGTGTAGTTGCGGCGGCGGTCGAGCCAGACTTCCGAGTTTTGACTCTTGAGCCAGAGGACCTTGTAGAGGTCCTGGCCCGTGGTTTCGCCCATCGCGTGCTGGAAGACTTCGACCTTGTTGGCGATCGGGAGCTTCTCGTAGTCGGGCGCCATCTGCACCATGAGCCGGTACTCGACGTTGAGCTGAATCTTGCGCGCCTCGCGGTAGTCGCGGATGAGCATGTGCAGCGTGTCCGTGTTCTCGACCCACCCGATGAGACCCGACGAGTGCGAGAGCGGCAGCACCGAGAAGCGCTGGATCGCCAGGTTGCGTTTCCGCGTGTCCGAGTCGTTGGCCAAAAGCGTGTTGATGAGGCCGAAGAGCTGCATGACGCGCTCGTCCTGGCGCAGATCTTCGTGGCCCTTGAGGAGGAACGTGTACGGCTTGCCGTCGCTGCCGTGCATGACAACCTGTCCAAAACACACAATGTATTAGCAACCATGGAGAGAGGTCACGCACCTTGCGCGGACGCTGCTTGGACGTGAGCACCGTGAGCTGCGGGCCAAACGACTGGATGCGCGTGATGGGCACGCCCGCCTTGTACGTACCAGGGATCGCGAGCGAGAGACTCGAGACACTCAGGAGCTTGGGACCGACGTTCGCGAGCTCAAGGATGCTCAGGTTGGCCATCTGCTTCTTGATGCGATTAAACACGTTGAAGTAGAGGTCCCACGCTTGGCTGAGGTCGTCGACGTTGCCCGTGGCCTCGTACCGGTCGGTCCACGCTTTCGCTTGCTGCAGATCGCGCGCAAACGCTTGGTAGAACGCGACTTCGCGGAGCGTCGGCTCTTCGACTTTTCCGATCGCATCGAGGAGCTTGTGCAACGGCGCAAGCTCCGAGAGCATCGCTTTCGTGTCCCGGAGCGCAAAGTACAGGCGGGAGGCTTCCTCCAGCGCGCCGTGCCAGAGCTCGTTCCAGAGAATCGCGACACGAATGAGTTCGCGCGAGACAAGCTCGGCTTCCTGCACAAGCTGCGGCGAGTGGCGGCGCACGGCGGCCAAAATCCCTTCCGCGGCCAGCTTGCGCTTGGTGCCAATGCTAGTCGACGCGACGGTCATCGGGTAAATGAGCGCCTGCGGGTGGTGCTGGCCGATGCGCGTGAGCAGCTGGTGGAGGAGCGTGTTCATGTTGGGCGTCGGCGAGTGCAGCCGCGCAATCAGCTGCGGGATAAACTCGAGCCACGTGTCGATCGAGACGTCGGCCAGACCTTGCGTCATGGCCGCGTGGACGTCCGGACGGCCGCCGTGGTTGAACCACAGCGTCAGAAGACGCAGCACGTCCTTGGTCACGTCGTAGCGCCGGTGGCCAAACGAAATCGACCGGAAAAAGCCGTGGATCGCACTGGCCGCGTATTTCTCCAACGCGATCGGGTCGTCGCGCGCCGACTCGGTCGCTCGAAAGTTCATGAGCGCCCATTCGTGCCACGCCTTGCCGTTGGTCGGATCCAAGCGCGTCGCCGTGTTGAGGCACCCGAGCACCTACCAATGCTCTGCACGTTCGGTGCGTGTACAAAAGGAGGATAATACCTGGTCAAACATCAAGTCGCTGTGCTTCTTGGGCTCGGTGAGCGCGACTTGCCACTTGCCGAGCTGCGTGTACGCCTGGACGCGCAAGTTGACGAGCTCGTCGTGCTCGTCAAAGGTCTCGATCGCGTGAATCAGGTCATGGAGCTGCTTGAGCGCGAGCTCCTCCTTGCTCTCGGCCCAGAGATGCTTGAGGTACGCAAAGGCGACGACCGGGTTGTGCGTTTCTTGCTCCAGCATGTGCACATTGACGATCGGAACGCTCGCATCGGTCGCGATCGACTCCATGAAGACGCTCGCGCCGACGCTGGCGAGCGCCGACGCCGCCAAGTTGAGGTGCCCCGACTTGCGGCAGAGGCGCGCATACTTGAGCCACACGTCCACGTCGTCTTTCGGCTCCAAGATGAGCGACCGCACCAGCATGACGTGCTGCCACACCTTGATGTCGCGGTCGACACCTAAAAGGCGGGCCGTCCAGATCTTCTGCAGTCTATCGCAGCAGCATCCGTTCAGTGGTCGCCATGTCGTCGGACGATGACGTACCGTGAGAGATCGTCTTGCTGCGCGTGCAAGAGGGCTTGGGGCGTCATGCGCGGCGGCCCTTCGACAAAGCTCTCGCGCGTCAAGTGGTTTTGCAAAAAGCTGTCGCGCATCGGACGACTGCTGGTGGCGAGCATCGGCTTGGTCAGCGACGCACCGCGCTGCAGGTGCGCAATGATCTCTTCGAGTTCCGCGAGGTTCTGGAGGTTGACGACGCAAGGCATGTAAGCGCGCGCATAACTCTCGCTGATGAACGACCGAATCGTCGGGTCCATCGTGTGCCGGCACTCGTCGATCGCGATTTTCGCCTCGTCCAACTCGTTGGATCGGATGCACGTCACGGCGCGGAAGAGGTGCGACTCGGTGTCGTCCATGTCCGAGTTGATGTACTTGGGAACAATGTCCCAATTCTGCAGCGTGAACGCGACCCGCGCCGCGTTGCTACACAGCTCCTTCTTGAGCGCCGGCGGGACGTCGAGGAGCTTCTTGTCGTCGTCATCAATGCCGCTGTCGCCGTCGTCGTCGTTGCCGTTGCTCTTGTCGCCGTCGCCATACACGTGCGTCCACATGGCTTCAATGTGGTCGTTGAGCGCGTGCCACTGCCCCGTCGCGTACAAGCAGCGCATCTTGCCAAAGATGGCCTCGACGTCGTCGGGGTGGGTCCTCAACACAGATTCGTGCGCCATGAGCGCGTCGTCCCAGCGCTGGAGCTTCTCGTGCCAGCTCGCTTTGACCGGTACGCGCGGCAAGTGCATCTGCGCGTACGTGACGATCCCGACCGCCGCTTCAAACTGGTTGAGCTTGTTGTTGATCGAGATGAGCGCCTCGATGCCGGCGGCCGTCGGCGTCGCGTTGAACTCTTGCTCCTTGTAGTGCAGTGCTTTCGCGAACGAATGACACTTTTCCGCCAGCGACCCCTACCCCCAACACGTGAGGCCGACGCCTGCGAGCGATGCCTACCAGTAGCATGATGTCGATCGGCAATCGCTGGTCGTCGTGCTCCATAAACTCGGCCAGATTCAGCAGCGTCTGGAGAATCTCGGACGGGAGGTTGGGTGCTTGCAGCACGGTCTCGAGCGCGCGGATCAAGTTGTCCTGCGTGTGCGTGTTGAGGTTTGGCCACAGCGACACAAACGATGCGTTGAAGAGCTCGCGGGCCAGCGGCTGGTACACGGACGCGAGCTCCTTGCACGCGCGGAGCGCCAAGGACGGCGACTCGCGCAGGAGCTCGACCGAGATCGCGCGCATCCACTCGTGCCAGTCGTCCTTCGTGCTTTTCTGCGTCGTCTCCCACGCTTTCGAGAGACTGACTTGGTTGATCGGGAGCGGCTTGAACTCGTCGAGCGAGTCCGTGTTGAGCGACGACGCGTGCTCGCGCTTGAGCGTGTCGGCGCCCCATGCGACGGCGGGCAGCGGCTGGTACTTGAGCACTTTGGAGACGAGGAGGTCGTACTTGTCAAACACATCGCCTTGCGTGTGGTGTCGGTGCAGCACTTGGTTGATGACGGGAATGAAGACCGCGTAATCGTCGCCCATCGTGTAAACCATCGCACACAGGCAGTCCATCGCGAGGTACACGAGCTCTGGGTGGCCGCTTGCAATGACGCGCGCCAGCATGTGGATGATTTTCGATGCAAACACCGAGACGTTGAGCTTCTTGATCAGCGTCGCGAGCGTCCTAAACCCGTCCATTGTGATAATACATAGTGGATCGAGCATCGGCCATGTACCCCAAGGCTTGGCGGCGGGGCAGAAAGTCGGCGCTGCTCTGGATGAGCTTGACGAGCACGGGGATGACGAGGTGCAGATACCCATCAAGGAGCCGCCCGAGGCTAATCAGCGTTCGCATGACGAGCTGAGTTTGCGGCCGATTGGCTGACTCGCGCTCCGTGCGAATGACGCGAAGAAGCTCCGGCACGAGGTCCGGAAGGTACACGCCAAAGTCTTCGCCGAGCGAGTTGATGACTTCATTGACCAATCCCAGCACCTGCGGCAGATGCGAGTCCCAAAACTGCTGGATGATCCACGCCATCGCCACGTTGTCGAGGTGCGGCTTGACCTTCTCTTCCATGAGGCGCACCAGCGCTACAAAGTATGAATGTATCAAGGAGCTGTCTCGATAGCGGACGCATCCTACTCGCGAGCTGGTCGAATACAAAGACGCGCAAGTCGGGGGTGACGTGCTCGAGCGCGTATAGGAACGCGGGGATGATCTTGTCCAGGTGCGGCTCCATCTTCTTGCCGAGGTTCTTGCAAATGTACATGATGGCCAACAACGTGCCTTGGTAATGGCTCGCGTTGCGCGGCTCGGACAAAATGCGAATGAGCGCGTTGATCGCGACGGCGGGAAAGTAGTTTTGCGCTTCGCCGACCATGAGCGACGGCAGCAAGTCCTCGGCCGGCACGCACTTGATCTCGTGCTTGACGATCGATGAGAGCGGGTCGGCCACGAGCCGCTTGATCACGAGCTGCTCGACGCCATTCTACTCGAAACATTGTAAAAACATCCGAGAAAATCGAAACAAAAACGGAAAAATCGGAAAAAACAACAACGTACTTCGTCGCCGAGGAGCAAGCCTGCCCACGTCGGGTCGTCCGGGATCACTTGGTTGGCCTTGAGCTGCTCCACTTGCTTGGTCGCGAGCAAGCCCGAGCCCATGCGACCTTGCTTCTCGAGCTGGAAGAGCTTGAAACTGTATGGATCCAACGCGCCAATGATACCGAGCGTGCGGCCAGCTTCGATGCGCAAGAGCACGTTGGCGTCGCCGCTCTTCTGGAGCGCGGCCGAAAGTCCTTCGAGCAGGTCCGGGTAGTCGTGGTACGGCCGCGTGACGTAGCCCGTGCTGCCGATGAGGAGCCCCAGCGTGCGCACGACGACGACCATTTTCCCGACGTTCGCGGTGCTGCTCTTGATCTCTCGCATTTCGTCGACGAGCTCCGGAATCAGCTGCGGAAGGTACGGGATGAGCGCGTCTTGGCCGACGACCGCGAGGTCTCCGAGTGTCGCGACGACCGCCTTGTTGAGCTGGATGCGGCCGTCCGTGCTGGCCTCTTGGCGCAAGTTTTTCATGAGCACCTTGAGGATCGGGAGCACGTAGGGCCGGGCGAGCGTCGTCGCCGACCGTAAAAAGTGACCTAGCAGCAACGCCCCTTCGTCTCTCACTCGCGCGTCGCCGCTAAACTCGATCTCGGCGAGGAGCTGGACCAGCGTTTGCCGCAGCGACGGCATGACCGCCGACGGGTTCCGGTGCGTGAGGCGGCCGAGGATCGTCATGGCGGTTTGTCGAATGTCGACAACCTCGTCGTTGAGCGCGATGAAGAGGCACCGGAGGTTCTCGGGCTGCCCGAGAAGCGCGTCGAAGCGCGGGTCTAACGACGCCAGCACTTTCGAGCGGATGTCGGCCTCCGTGTCGGCGATCCCGACGGTGAGCAGCTTCTGCAGCACCGTGCTTACGGGCCCGGCCACGTCGCTCTTGAGCGCCGTCGCTTCTTCGCCGGCCGGCAACACGAGCTTGCAGCATGTGATCGCGGCACTCTTCCGCACGCTGGCAATGTCATGATCCAAGAACCGAACGACATGCGAGTGGACGCGCTGGACGATCGGGATGTGGCGGTTGCCGCCGAAATCAAAGGTCGCGAGCGTCTCGAGCGCCAGAATCTGCATGCCAATGATGTTGGGCGCGTCAACGGCGAGCGCCGGCGACGACGGCGAGTAGTCGAGCTTGCCGGTTTGGATTGCGCTCGAGAGGAGGTTGAGAACGCTGGTCTTGGAGCCGCCAGAGGTGGTCAGATTGGTGTACGTCTTGCTGCGGTGGCGCGACGGCGACGCCGATGTGAGCGCCGACTCGGACGGCTTGAGCTCGAGGAGTTTCATGAGCTGCTTGAAGAGCGAGTTTTGGATGAGCATGCGCTGGTTGGGCAGGCGCTTCATGAGCGTTGTGAGCGTATCGATCATGCCTTTGTCGAGCTCGCATTGAAAGACGCTTTGAATCGTCGCCTCCAAGTTGATCTTGCTCAAGCCCGCGCCGATGGCGTCGGCGAGCATGCGGAGGCAGTTGAGCGCCTCGCGCTGTGTGTCGCCGTCCTTCTTATCCTTCTTCTTGAGGAGCCCGAGCTTGATGCAGTGCGTAATCATATCGAGCGTCCGCTCGTCCCGGCCGAGCGGCGACCCAATCGCAAGCGAGAGCTTCCCGATCGACAAGAGCGCGTCACCGCGCGTGACGGCCGGTGGGTTGTTCATGCTCGCCACCTCGAGGAGGTAGCTCATGCTCGGTCGGTAAAACATCTCGAGGAACGTCGATGCGTTAAACTTGGCGAGACGCGGGAGGAGGTTGATGACCGCGCGTCGGACCGTCGACGACCGGTGGTCCCGCAAGCTGAGCACGTCGCGCACTTGGCGGACGTAGTGCGGGTACATAAAGTCGCCGCTGTTGCGCAGGAGCTCGTTCAAAATGAGGAGCGCGCCGTGGATCGACTCGGGCGTCCCGCGCTGAAGGCCGCGCTGCACCTCGTCGAGCGTGCGGACGTACCACATGGTCTTGCGGTTCGAGTCGCGGGCCTGGAGGAGCGCAAAGCAGGCCTGGAGCGCATCGGCCGCGCCTTCGCGCGTTGGCTGCTTGCTGTCGCCGAACGCGTTCCAAATGACGTCAAAGAACGTGTCAATGTGCCGGAAGAGGATCGCCGGCGCGTTGATCGCGAGTTCGCGCAGGATGATGACCGCAGCCTGTCGCCGGACCTGGAAGCTCTCCTTCTCAAGCCACGCAAGCGCGGGCTTCATGTGGTACTCCTCGATGAATTCGATGAGCGACGTGCCGCCGGACGAGACGAGGTGGCCGAGCGCCTTCCCGCCGGCCTTGAGCGTCGGGATCTCCGTGTTGGCCGTCTTCTCAAACACCTTGATGAGCGCGTGCGCAAACTCCGAGATGCGCGAGTCCTGGTTGTCAGCAATGAAGAGGTCGACGAGGTTATCCATGGCCACGATGCCCCCCGTGCGCTCGGCGAGGTCGGATCCGAGGATCATCTCGATGATGCGGCCGCTGATGGCCGAGACAGTCGTCGCGTACTCGGCCATGGGCAGGTCCCGCGCCTCGGACTCGAGGTACAAGCAGAGCGTTCGCGCCGTTTGGTCCGCGTCGTCGCGTTCGCGCTGCGCAGCCCCGGGAGGAACCGGGCGAAGGCCGTCGCTTCGGTCATCCTCGTTCTTCAGTCAGCTGACTGGGCGAAAACTGGCAATTCGACAGCATTTTGGCCAATGGGCGTACAGTTGACCTGATGTTGCAAGCCGCGTGGCCGCAGACAAGTGACACGGCGCAGCCTCGTGGGCGGGCGCTGGCCTGCGTGATGCTATGCTGCTGCTTCGTGGGCGCGCTGTCTAGTAGCCGCCAAGGCGCGCTGTCTGGGTCCAGCAATCCTACCAGCCTGCTGCCAACACCGGGGCTTGCGTTGCCCATCACATCGCTTGGACGGCCATCACGCAGCGGGCTACTGTACCGGTACACCACACGAGCCCAAGCACGAGCCCACCAGCGGACTCATTGAGAGCTGCATGCCTCGTATGGCGGAGCGGCTACTGGCAACACCATGCACCACCGCTCTGAGGGCGAAGATGGCCTCAGCTTCATATAGGATGCACCATACCACACAAATGCACCTCGCTTTGCCTCGCGCCACGAGCCCACGCGGGCGCGCCATCCAGCAGGTCAACCATGCGGACCTCGGCCGCTCCCTCGGATCCTCCTTCGTCGCTTCCTTGGCCGTTTGACGCTCAATGTGTAACGCCATGGTTCCGGATAGTGGACGGTGTTATCCGGCCATATCCCTCGTGTTAACGACACGACGCTCAAGCCGCCGCTCGTGTCACACGCATCTCGACATCGTCCTTACTGCTTAGCACTATTACTGCAATAGCTCCTCGCTCGAAAAGCAACCGCCACGAACGATCTGTGCCCACGTCGTTTGCAACCTATCGGTCCATGCCACGCAATATCGTCTTCTGTGCTACAGACACAAGCTCTTGAGGCCGCACAGATGCAATCGTCCTTGGCTGTACATCAGCATTTCTCAGAGTCACGAAGACCAAGAGACCTTGCCATCATGACGTTAGCATGGCGCGTCCGACGCATGTCATCGTCGTCTCTGCTGTGCATGGCTGCAGCTCGATGCAATCTGCGACGCAATCTCTTGAGAAAGCAGAGGAGATTGCCATGTCAAGCTGGCTGTTTTCGACTCGATGTCAAACCAGGGAATACATCCCTTGCTACGGAGCGACGTCAATAATGTCTCTGCTTCGACCCAGCGATTGGCCAGCTGCTGTACAAGTGGACACACGATTTCGTCATGGGTGGTTCGATTAGATTCCCTGGCAATAGTGACATACCTCGAAATTTGTATGGCATACACGGCCAGGGCAAATGCACTTGTGGATTTGCAGCCATGGCTTCGGACGCGACCGCGAAGACGCCGACGACGTCGATGGCCGTCGTCTCGTGCTTGGTGTACAGCCTCATGTCCAACGCGATGGTGCTCGCGAACCGCTACATTGTCGGCGCCAAGTACTACAACTTTGCCGAAAAGTCCTTTGTCATCCTCGCGCAAGCCGTCATTGGCGTCCTCGTCCTGGAGGCTGCCAAGGCCCGCGGCCTCATCCAGTACGAGAACTTTAGCATGGAGACCGCGAAGCGCTGGGCGCCGGTCACGGCCTTCTTTGTGGCCATGCTCTACACGGGCACGCTCGCGACGGCTGGCCTCCCGATCCACATTGTCACGGTCTTCAAGAACGTGACCAACTTGATCATCGTCTTTGGCGAGTACCGCCTCTTTGGCGAGAAGGTGGGCCCGATGGTCCTCGGGTCGCTCGCCGTCATGCTCATGGGCGCGATCCTCACCTCGTACAGCGACGTGGGCGGCAAGCCGAATGCGAGCACGCTCATGGGCTACTTTTGGATGCTCATGAACTGCCTCTCGACGGCTGCGTACGTGCTGTACATGCGCTACGCGACGTCCGGGTCGACCCTCAAGCTCAGCAAGTTTGGCATGGCGTTCTACAACAACATTGTCGCGATCCCGCTCCTCTTCTTTCCCATGGCGTACACGGGCGACGCGATCACGGTCTGGACCAACCCGCTCATGCGCAACGTGCCGTTCCTCTTCCTCCTCTTCCTCAGCGGCGTCATGGGCATCGGCCTCAACCTCGCGTCCTTCTGGTGCGTCAGCGTCACGTCCGCGACGACCTACGCGACCGTCGGCGGCCTCAACAAGCTGCCCACGACCTTTATCGGCGTCTTGCTCCTTGGCGAAGAACTCAAGCCCCAGACCGCCATCTACGTGACCTTTGGCATGATCGGTGGTATGATGTACGGCTACGGCAAGTTCCAGGACGCCGAGGCCGCCAAGCAGGCCAAGGCCCGCGCTAACCAAGCCGAAGAGAACGTGCGCATGCTCGACGCCAAGGTGTAAATCTCCATTTTCATAGACTGCTGCCTCTTCTCGACGTCTTGTCTCGTGCTCTTACATGGAGCCTTCGACCTTCTGGTGCCTGGACAAAGTGTGGTGTACAGCAACCGGACAGGAATGTGAGCGGGATGCTAGCATAGACCATCGCACAAGACTGCTACTTACACGCTTTGTCATGACCCACGCCCGGCACCGATTGCGCTTTGTTTAGGAGCAGGATGGCATCCAAGCTTGCAAGCGATGCACATTTCAAGGGTCTTGAATAGATAGATGCTAGGCATGGGTCTTACACCATAACGTTATTGCGTCCCGTGCTTGGCGAGGCGGCTCTGGAGAAGCATGCTACGCCATCATGAGGTCGATATGACAACCTTGTTGATCGTGCGCACCTTGGGGCGTCGAGGCGGGAGCCTACAGCAGAGAACACGCATGAGCACCGCTGCCGTGGTGTCGTTTGGAGTCACCTGCAATGTCCAAGAACGCGTCGGCGAGGGCCGAGTGGCTCAACAAGTCGATGGAAGCTACCACAGAAGACGCATCAAAGTGCCGAGCATGCAATGGTTGCTACCCGATGTATCGAACGGATGGGCATCGGCGTCGGCGACCGCAGCGCGGAGGTCGTCCAAGTCCATCGCGCCGAGCGCTTCGTCGATGGCGTCGACGTCGCCGTACACTGGCGCCGTAGGCTTTGGCGGCGCTGTCCACTTGAACGGACTGTTGCGGCTCTGGAGTGCGAAGGGCGGCGGCGACAGGAGCGGGCTCCCCGGCAGCACGGGTGAGCTCAGATTGCCAAGGCGTGGCGAGTGCAGGACGTGCGCCAATGTGGAATATTGCGAAGCGTGTGCGGTTGTTGTCTTGAGCTCGGCGTACCGGCGGACGCACTCGACGGGCGTGCAGCCGAGGGCAACGGCGATCGCCTTCCAGTTGACGCCGAGCGGGAACCGTGCCGCGTAGATCTCGCGGACGAGCTCGTCGTCCACGTCGTCGGTGGCCTCGAGGCTCTCACGGATGCTGCTTGCCACTTGGTCGTCCAGCGCAGCGTCCTTCTCGCTCGTCCAGATGAAGACCGACGACGTTGGCTGGTGCTGCGACCAGCGCGGTG